TGTCTTTCCTTCCACCCCACAACCTGTAATGATCAACCCACTGTTTCGTGTTCCTCCTGGATATCATCCCCAACTTGTGCTTCAAGGCCTCTAAACCAACATTCATTGCCTATTCCCAAACCAAGGTAGAGGAACCAGGCACAAAATCAAAATCACACTCAAGCTAGAACTCAAGTTGACCGAGGAAGAAATCTCTTCCATGTTGATCCACTACCAATGTCGTAGAGTGAGATGTTGCCTCAACTAGTTCATAATTATTTGGTGTCTCCTAAGAAACTCAAGCTAGTGGAATATCCATACCCACCCGGGTATGACCATAATGATAGGTGTGGATTATATTATGAACCACCTAAACATACCACTGAATATTGCAGATCCTTCAAGCTTAGGTTAAAAGAGCTGATTGATGAAAAATTGCTGACATTCTTGAGAAATAGCTTACAGATGGATGTCTCGATCAATAGGTCATGCAATTCCCAAAGTGAAGAGTCCTCATTACCTTTGGTAATTCATTATTCCGAGGAAATTAATAAGGTGTGGGAGACCAACGACACCAATATCTTGAAAGCCAACAAATTGGTCCAGATTGATCCAGTGATTGCTTTCGAAAAGGCTAAAATGTTGGGGTCCTCGAGCAAGAAGAAGATTCCAAATTTTAACAAGGGGAAGTCATTCGCTATACCATACCCTACATATCCATGCATAACAGTCGCATATCTAGTAACTATGCCTCCCAAGCCTCCATATCATCTAAATTTGATTGTTCCTCCTCAAGGTTATGGGAATCAAAATTGAAGATATCTTAAACATTTTAAGTCACAAAGTAATCGAGAGAGATGGTACGCTACTCTTGATCTCATTATTATACCGTGTAGTCGGCTTCTGCCATATTTGATTCATAATTCACTAATGGTGCCCAAATATCTCAAGCCAGTGCCACAACCATTCCCACCTGGATACGATCCCAATGTGCAATGTAAATATCATGATGGGTTAGTGGGGCACTCTGTTAAAGACTATATGTCATTCAAGGGAAAAGTTTAGGACATGATCAACAACAAAAGCCTAGTATTTAAAGAAGACAACCCAAATGTTGAGTGTGGGTACCATATTGGAGTAGTGGGGAATTATATCAAAAAATGCAAGATCTTTCAGAATAAATTGCAAAAGTTGATTAGCACAAGCCCAAAGACTCTTAAGACAAAAGACCCAAATATGGTTGGTTTGATCCAGAAGCCTAGTAAGAAGAAAAGCCAAGGACCTTTGGAACCACTTAGGATCTTGTACCACAAAGAAAACATTGGAAAAATGGCAGATGAAATGTCATTATATCCCGTCTAGAATGCTGAGACAACATCATGGAATTACAATGCCACTCACACAAGTGAAAGCAAAGAAAAATCGTGAGATAAATCTGAAAAGGTTGTATCTGGCGGAGAGGCTAAAGGAGAAGAATTCAGGGATTATCATACTGATCTTGATGAGCATGATGAAATCAACCTTGGGTAGGAAAAAGGCCAGCCAAGTAATGAATCATACATAAGAAGTTACCCCTAAAACCAGTGTGTTAAACAGGAAGTCATCCTCAAAGCTGAGGATCATTAAGCTATTTTTATCATCTACATTTATAATTATTTCTTTGTCTGTTATATACTACTTGTTATTAAATATTGTTGTTTTTAGTGGTACTACTAATTAAACGAGCTACATCTTTTGAATTAATCCATTTGTATTCACTCTTTTTTTCTTTTTTTACCGCACAAAAACAAAAAAACAAATATCAATACTTCTCCCATTCACTTATCTTTATCAAACTTTTGTTTAAGCCAAGATCAGAGAGAGAATGAAGAAAAACAAAATACTCAAAATTGATATAGGATGCTTTTGAAAAATTTGCTGATGATGTAAGCCATTGTTTCAAATCTCCAAACACCAAAGAAATAAGGAGTTAATCCCCAGTCAACCACTTTGAGCCTAGAAGTTGGTGTTTCTTCCGGAATTAAAAACCATTAGTCTTGAATAGGGGTAAGGTATCTTTGTTCACTTAATTTGACTATGCATTCAAATTGCAAGAGAATCGTTTCATTTATACACCTTCTAATAAGAGGTTCAACCATATGCTGTTTGTCGAACACATCATGAAGTGTCAAAGAAGTTGTGAAAATCTGAAAGATTTAAAGTGGTTGTTCCTTACCAACCATTAACAAGACAGTCATAACCTTTCAGCAAAATAAGAAAAGAAAGAAAGAAAAGCCCGCTAAGTCGAACACCAAAAAAGGAGACTTAGGCAAAAGAGATTGTTTGAATCCTCAATGAAAACAAAGAAAAACAAGATCAGGTGACCACCATATCAAGAATCAAAGGGTCGCCAACATTCTTGACAAAAACAAAAATAAGGTGATTGCCATTTCAATAAAATCTCATTAGTTCTTGAATTTTCATTTATACCTCACACCTTCAAATTCTCTTGGAAGTTGAATATGTGTGTCGAATTAATAGAATGTAGGACTGAAGATCATCAAGAATAATGGGGGTTAAAATTAAACTTTGAGCTTTATAACATATGTTCAAAAACCATGGACTAGTCCATATTACAACCCTCAAAAGACCTAGTTGAAGCAAGGTTTATTTTGAAGGCATGCTACAACAAGGTTGCATTAAACTGAGTCTTAGAGATTTTCTAATCATTTCTATTGATATCATATTCTCACATCATCTTTCGCACTTTGAATAAGATGAATCAACATTACGTTTGGACCATTGGTTCACTCATTGTACATCACCTCGTCATTTTAATAACGAATTTTTTCAAAACCTACATAAGTGTCGCATTAAAATTACTATTTTTGAATGAACAATTTTAACTGCAAGTAGGTACTTGGCATCAAGGAAATTCTAATAAAGAGAAATCATGGAGGAACTTGGCATTTGTTAATGTTGGCCTAAATCTGAACTACTTCATGCATAAATGCAAAGTGGGCAAGGTGGCGTCCATCTAGTTAAAAGTTGATCACCCTATAATCATGTTGTAAGAAGAGGGGCGTCAATAACCATGTACCTAACCTTTATCTCTTGGCATGTTCCTTCCTTTCTAAAGTAGTCTTCAGTGTGATGTATCCTTGTACTTGCATTTGTTTTCTAGAGGATCCCGCAAGTGAGCCCTTGAAGGGTTTTAGATCACCTAGGTCAAGGCAAAGTTTTTCAAATGCCTCCTAATGCAGAATGTCTGCAGAACTTCCTTGGGCTACGAGGACTCTTTTGATTTTCCATTTGTCACATCTAATAGTAATGACTATGGGATCTTCTTTATTATGGTTGATGACAGTTATATCTTTCTCTAAGAAGGAAATTGTGGCTTCTAATGCTCGATCCTCGCCTTTTCCTTCGATGTTGGGGAGGTCTTCTATATTAAAGTTTTGGCAAGCGTACCTTCTACGGGAGAAACTAGTCTCCCCGTCATCAGAGAATCCCCCTACTATGGTGTTGAGAGTATGATGCACTGTGTTACTAACCTCGCCCAAGGATGCATATTTTTCTTTGTTGGGCTTAGGGCTCCTATATCATCTTGCCCTCACGGGTTGGACTTGTCTAACCCATGGGAAGAGTCTCCTTTTACATATTTATTGAGGTTTCCCTCTTGGATTAGTCTTTCAATCTCTTTCTTGAGCTGGTAGCAATCCTTAATGTGGTTTCCCTTGATTCTATGGAACTTGCACCGTCTTCTAGGTTAAAGACCAGTTACATCCATATTTGGAGTGGGCGACGTAGGGATATTTTGAAGGTGAAGAATCTCTGAGCAAACCTGTGCATGACGGGTATTCAAGGGCGTGAATTTCTCTATCGCATTTCCTACTCTCTTGAATGCAGTCTTATATTTTATGGGAGAGGTATAATTACTCTTCCTCTAGTGGTGTAAACCCACAGTGCAGGGGATGTTCTCTTTGACATCATGCGCCTTATTTCTGGTGTTGCTCTCGCCGCCTTTTATATAACATTCTGCTCTAGTGATCACGTCTACCAATGAAAGTGATGCCTTATGAGAGAGAGACTCGTTGAAGTGTCCTTCCTTGAGTACATTCTGGAACACTGACATAAACATCTCTTGGTTTGGTGGGACGACCTTGGTGGTGGCCCTGTTAAATCGGGCATGGTAGTCCCTAAGTGACTCTGATAGACCCTAGAATATGTTGAATAGGCGTAGAAGTGAGGGTTAATAGTGATTAGGGCAATGATGGGGAAGAATATGTGACTCAAGTTAGTTTTATCGGGGCACCACTATACTAGTAAAAAAGTATAGGTGTGTTTGTCACACCAATAAAAGGAAGAGATGCTCAGAGGTCTTAATAGGTATATTATGTTTTATGGTGGTTAAGGCTTTCCCACAACAACGATAAGCACTGTATGGTGGTGTTTATAGTGGTTTAAAGGACTTGTTCATGTGAGGTGATGGGTTGTGTACGTGAATGTGTTGCTTAGGTATTAATATATGTATGGTATGATCTCTATGATTTAAGATTTGTCCACCGTTCTCCTAGGGGAGAAGTATTTCTAAAGGCTCTTTTAGGTCTAGGGTTTCGAAAACCCCTATGGGCGACAACCTCTGCCTTATGGCTAGGGGAGCTGTTAATCACCTATCATATAGAGAATTGTGGTGGACTCCATCTCATATGACCAACGATATTATACTCGTCCTTAGTGCCAAGGGCGAGCCCCTCTGCTCTGTGAGGATATCGCCTAGACGACAATAACCTTAAGCGAGGACACTTGGACTCCCCTTGTTTAGAACTTTCACAAATATAACACTACAACTATCATGTCTCAATGTAAGTAGTTTAGAGTTGGTTATACATGATCTATAAACTACATAATTCTGTATGGTTATATATTTTAGAGATTGTACACTCTATAAATACACAATGTATTGTTCATCATTTAGTAATAAAGAAAAGTGATATTTATTCATATTTCAGAAAAATATATTAATAAAGATGACAACACAATCATATATCACAATTTCGTCCGCCTGGACCTCCATAAAGAAAAGCTTGCCTATACTGATATCCTTCAAAACCATGGTACCACAAGTCATAACAATTTGAATTAGCATCGGTATATCGCTTCATATCTTCAGGTTTTATGTCAATTTCATTATATTCTGAATCAAAAATCTTTAGTAATACCATGAAACCTGAGTTTATGAATTTTTCTCTCGGCAATCTCCCACTACCCATGGGAGGACTATCCTCATTAGGCGGAGCATAAGTTTGACCTCCAAATCTTATTAAAGAGGCTCCTTTGCTTAAATGAGTGAATAATTCTTTTGGCCAATATCCAACATATATTGGTTTTGTAGTTTGAATAATTAACCACCAATGACCTGTAATTCGATCCTAGATATTTCAACAAATAATATATAGTTAGATATATTACTAGGAGATAACTCAAAAAAATTAATTCATAATGAATTGTAAATATTTTAAATCATCTATTTAATTAAGAGTCTTTTCAATCAATTTAATTATCACTATTCTTATGTATAATGTTAGAAAATTTAAAAAATTTAGATACTCTACACCTTAAATAAAATACTATTTAAAAAACATTAAAATTTGTTGTAATTATTTTAAAATATATATTAAAATTAAATTTTTACCTGCTTGATTTTGATATAACCAATATATTTTGTTGTTGATCCAATCGCACTAGTAGGATGCGAAACAGAACCAATAGCATAATCTTTATCACGGTTAACTTGCACAAAACCCGGACAAACAATATTATAACATCCAGTTTTTCCGTAATTATCAGCCTGAATGTTTATATCAAAGTAAGCTTGAAAATAATCAAATTATGTGTTTTTTCATCACATTTTATGTATGAAAATTACATTCTTACCGTCCAATGACCAGTTAATCGCAGTTGACTATCTCCATATAAACTTGGATGAACCTTACACAACAAAGAATGGATGTGAGAGTTTTTTTAGGATAATATATACATGAAACACACGCACACACTTTCTCGGATTTGGATCATCTTCTTTTTTATATATCTTGTTATCTCTTATATTTCTAATCTAACCGTTCAGAATTTATAATAAATAATTAAATAAAAAAAGTCATTTAATAGAAGAGAGAAATGGATAAGTAATTTGTCTTTGTTATTTTTAGAATTTTTCAACATAAATTATGAACCGTTAGATTAGAAATATGAGAGATGACAGAATATATAAAAAAGGAGAGCATCTAAATCCCACTTTCTCTCTAATAGAATGTAACTTACTCCAAGTCCGACTTTTATGCTATTAAGTTCATTTGGGGGTCCACTTTCTAGCCATATTGAAGATATGCTGTATTGTTTTGCTTGAAGTGACAGATTATACGCGCCTATGCCTGCTGATGCTCCATGAAATATCACGTTTCGGGTTGTATCTAGAGTAACGGTCTAGAAAATAATATTTATTAAATTAAATTAGGAATATTAAATTTCATGTAAAATGTATTTTAGTAAAAATAATCACTTACATGATATCCAGGAGAATCTTTTGAATACTGCTGAAAATCATCTGTTTCTAATCTTGATGATGAGTTAGTAATATTTTGTTGTATTTTTCTTCTGGTGTAAATAGGCACTTTTCCCACCGAACATCCCTCCACAATTTTCCTATTAGATAATTTACTTTGCATGATGTTATTTGCAAAGGTTGGATAAAGCTGCATAAATTGCAATAAATAGTAAATACAACTAAGAACTAAAAAGACGATTATATCCATTTATTTTTCACATCACAATTAAGTAAGATAGTTATTCTTATAAGTTGTTATACCTGGATTTTGTGATTTTTTAGTACAGGATTTTGTAGAGAAGGTTGCTTGTAGAGATCAACACAGTCAAAATCATTGTCCAGTTGATGTTGAATTTTCTGAACCAAAATTACAATCAATTAAATCATGAGTATAAAAAATTAAGAAGGGACAATAGATCACATACCATGAGGCTATCAGATCGAGTAAAATGATTTTCTCCATCCAGTAAAATATTGTTTCTGGCATCAATTTTGCAACTTGTGATGCACAAACTAAGAACTAGAAAGACTATTAGATCCATTAAGTTTTCCAAGTTACTTTGAAGAATTTGTAATTCATGTACAAGTATATATATACTACAAAGTTAAAGATATTAGAATATAATATTATAAAAAAACTCAATTTTAAAAAAAAGTCAATGTTTCGATATCCTTCATTTTAATTAAAATAATATAAAAAAGATTTAATTTTGATAAAGTGAATATATATATATCAACATGCATGTATTTGTTAAATAATATTAAAAAAAAATACCTCTGAGATTTAAAAAGATAAATACAGTCATGTTCATTTAAAAAAAAACAAAGTAGTACTTTAATTTAATGCATTTAAGACTATTAAATGCATGAAAATATTGTGACCACTTTTTTTCTATGTATTCACTCCGTAATTTTTTGTCTTTCAAAGAAAAATTCAAATATACACATTATTTATATATATATATATATATATATATATATATATATATATATATATATATATATATATATATATATATATATATATATATATATATATATATATATATATATATATATATATATATATATATATATATATATATATATATATATATATATATATATATATATATATATATATATATATATATATATTAAATGCATGAAAATATTTTGACCACTTTTTTTCTATGTATTCACTCAATTTTTTGTCTTTCAAAGAAAAATCAAAATATACACATTGTTTTATAAATATATATTAAATGCATGAAAATATTTTGACCACTTTTTTTTCTATGTATTCACTCCTTAATTTTTTGTCTTTCAAAGAAAAATCAAAATATACACATTATTTATATATATATATATATATATATATATATATATATATATATATATATATATATATATATATATATATATATATATATATATATATATATATATATATATATATATTGACCACTTTTTTTTTCTATGTATTCACTCCTTAATTTTTTGTCTTTTAAAGAAAAATCAAAATATACACATTATATATATATATATATATATATATATATATATATATATATATATATATATATATATATATATATATATATATATATATATATATATATATATATATATATATATATATATATATATATATATATATATATATATATATATATATATATATATATATATATATAAGCATATATGTCTTAAGTGTATTTAGTTGTTGTTGTACTTAGTTTGATTGGCTAGATTTTTGATCGCATTTGTTTTGTATTTTTATTTTTTTAATTTAATATAATATTTTTTATTTTAAAAAAATCACCAGATTTAATTAGCTTTAAGATTTAAAAATTCTATATATAGAGCACCTTATTCAACCTTTTTCCATTACATTTATTATTTAAAAATTCTATAAAAAGAGATTCTTACCAAAATAATTTATTTATGATTATTAAAATACTTCTTACAAACATATTTAATATTAAGTTAAGAAATTGATAATGTATTAGCTTTTTCTTTGATTGTTACGGTTGGTTTCAAACAATCACTTTTTTCTTTTTTTTTTTGATTTTTTTTTTTTTGAATCAAAAATATCATTAATTCAAAGTCAAGAACAAAACAAGGCGATCAAAATTCAGCCCAAAACAAAAAGACCTACTGAACCATCAAAAGAGCTATATGTGGTCTAAGCTTAGGGCTCGACCACCCTCTATAGACTATGTTGTTAATAATTCTATCTGTACAATTCCTACTGTCATTTCTCTGATTAAAACAAATGTCATTTCTAAACCTCCACACCTCATGTACCGTTTCAGTCAGAGCTAATCTAACAAGATCGGCTTTCCAACCTTTACCACCAAAACAATTCAACATCCAGTTTAGCTCCTCTGTCCAATCCCCAGGATTGTGAGGGATACCAATCCAGTGAAGTATTTCAACCCAAATCTTCCTCAAAGTAGCACAATCAAAAAATAGATGGTCAATGGTTTCCGCCGCAGGGCAAAAGACACATTGGTTATTATTCACCATGCCAAATCGATTCAATCTAACTTTTGTGGCTAGCTTTCCATGACAGTTCATCCAGAGAGTATATATGGCACGGAGTCTAGCTCTATTGTGGAGAATTAACCTGGACCAGGCAACCTTAGGTGTGGCAGGCAATAAGTTCGCATACACTCGCCTACCAATGAATCTCCCTGCTTGCACCATCTCATTCCAAACCCTCTGCATAGTGCCAATATTTTCCCTCTGCATCAGAATAGTTTTAAAAATAATTGAATCTGAATTTTTAACCATTCTATACATAACATCCTCATTCTTCAAGTAATAAGCATGAATCCACCGAACCCACAGATCATCGGTTTTCATGGATATATTCCAGAGTAACTTCATCATAAACATGCTATTCCAAACCACTAGATCCAGCACATTCAAACCTCCTTTTGCCGCAGGTTTACAAATCTTATCCCACGCAATCAGACTCTTTCGACTAATGCTGTTACCTCCTGTCCAGAGAAAGGTTCTACAAATGGCATTGATTCTTCTAATCACAGTTTTAGGGAAGCAAACACACTGCATCCAAAATGAGGTAATAGCATACAACACAGATTTGATCAACTGTAATCTACCGGCATAGCTAAGAAGTCGAGAACTCCAATGCGTAATCCTACTCAACAGTTTATCCATCAACGGCAAATAATGGACCACAGACAGCTTTTTACTACTCACGGGGACACCAAGATATCTGAATGGGAGAGACCCCTCGTCGTAAGCAGTAAAATTCAGAATTGATTGTTTAACAGAATCTGATACACTACCAAAGTAAACTTTACTCTTGGTAGGGTTAACCTTCATACCTGTTGAATCCAAAAAACTATTGACGGTGCGCTGCATAATCTCTATAGAAACTATATCACCTCTAGAAAACAGCAGGAGATCATCAGCAAAAGTAAGATGGGTGAGCTGCAGCCTTTCGCATCTGGCATGGTGATTGAAATCCGGATTCCTCTGCATTCTGAACAGCAGCCTATTAAGGTACTCCATAATAATTACAAACAGGAGGGGGGACAAAGGATCTCCTTGTCTAATACCCCTTCTTGCTACCACCTTATCAGAAAACTTACCATTGATATTAAACCTGTAAGAGACTGTAGTAACAACAGTCATGATCCATTCAACAAATCTCTGTGGCATCCCAATCTCATTGAGAATATTACGAAGAGCACCCCAGTCAACCATGTCATATGCTTTTTGAATATCAAGTTGGATCATGCATCTTGGCGTACCATTATTCCTATTGTAATCTTTTAATAATTCCGTTGCCAATAAAATATGAGAGTGAATATTCTGGCCAGGAACAAAAGCTGCCTGAGTTTTACTGATAATAGTCCCCAAAACTCTCCCAAGTCGCGCAGTGAGGATTTTAGATATGATTTTATAAACAGTTGTGCACCCTGCAATAGGCCTATAATCATTAATCCTTTTTGCAGCAGGATGTTTAGGTATCAATGTAACAATAGTTTCATTAAATCTTTTGTACAACACATTTTCCTCAAAGAATTCCTGGACAGCTTCAACAACATCTTGCTCAATGATATTCCAACTAGCCTTAAAAAATTTTCCACCATACCCATCAATGCCTGGGCTCTTAAGGTCACCAATCCCATTAATAGCAGTACGACAGTGACAGGGGAAATGAGATCAGCTCTCTGCAACATAGTTAGCTGTGGCCCCTCCCTCATAGCATTGATATTAATCATATTCACCCTCTGAGCTTGACTCCCATACAACTTTGTATAAAAGTCACATACCTCCTTCTCAATGTCAGGTAAGCTCTGAATATAAGTGCCATCCTCTTTTTGTAATTGATTGATATGAGTAGCTGCATTTCTAGAATTGAGGTAGGCATAGAAAAAGCTGAATTTGAATCACCTTCTCTAAGCCAGTCCAATTTAGATCTCTGTCTCAGCATGTTAACATTAAGGTCCTGCAGATAAATCACTTCATCAGTAAATTGTATCACCTTCTCAATGTTGCTTGCATTCATTCTGTCCACCCTTAAATCTTCCTGCGCTTTGAGAAGATCAGTCCTGGCTTTAATAATGGACATATGGAGGTGAGAGAACTTCTTGCTCAATTTGATAAGAGGAGCTTGCAACCTCAGCAACTTGTACCACAAACGAGCCATAGGTCTTCCCATACACACTTTTTGCCAACTCTGCTTTACAATATCCTGATAACCATCCACTTTAATCACACTATTAGTGAACTTGAAGTTGGTGTATACAATTCTGTTTCTTTTCTGGTCAGCCAAACACAGCAAGCAGTGATCAGAAATACTAGGAGGGAGAATCTCAAGCTTCATATCAGTGTTTTCCTGCAGCCAATCTATATTACCAAGCACATGATCAATTTTTGAGTAGATAGTTCCTACAGAATGTTTGTTTGTCCAGGTAAAATAATCACCTGTGCTATCCTTCTCAAAAAGCCCAGCATAATCCATCAAGTTTCTTAAGTCAACATATTCTCTCTCAGTCACCAAATTTCCCCCAATCCTATCCATGGACTTTGTCACATTGTTAAAATCCCCCATAAGGAACCAAGGCCCTTGTTGGTTGTTATGTATATTCACCAAATCCTCCCATAACTTCCTTCTTTGGTCCAGCTGATTCATAGCATAAATGGCTGTCATCCAGGTTTGGAATTTACCATTGACATCATATATTCCACAATGTATCATCTGAGCTGTGCAAGTCACCACTCTGATGTCCTTATCACTGTCATCCCAATAAATCCATATCCTGCCATTGTAGTGAGACTGATAGTTGTCAATATATTTACCTCTGAGGTTAAGACAATCTCTAACTTTCTTTGCTTTATCAACTTTTACTCTAGTTTCAAGTAGAATAGCAATGTTGGGATGAAGGTTTAGGAGACGGGAGCTAGTCTCCTTTAACTTCCCCATTTTATTCAGCCCCCTGATATTCCAGGAGACAATCATTGGCCAGTGTTTTGAGCCTCTAGGAGATCCTTCAAAATCTCTAGAGCATCAAACCCATTG